TAACTGATGGTCCCATTTAGAGTCAAACAGACCATAAAGCAGGGTATGCTTTAGGGCGGGGCTACCTTGTGATTGACAGCTCATTCTCAGTGAGTCCGTCCAGCTCAACACATCAAACTCAGATCAAACTTTCAAATTAGGCAGTGCTCTGTGACCAGGCGGGCAGCCATTGTTTCAGATTAGTTAAATAGAGCAGCTCAAGTCGCTGTACGTCGCCACTGCTGGCACCGAAAAACACCAAATTTGTGGCTTCAAAAAAGCTACTCAACAAACCATGGGCGAATAATGGAAAAACGTAAATTAAGCTTCACTGCAAAGTATAGACAAAAAAAAATACAGACAAAATGAGCTAGTTAAGCTAGCTAACTTTAATCTGATGTCTGAGGTTATGAGGGTTGGCAACTTTTAGAAACTTAAAGTCGACTGTGTGAACCAGAAATAGAATAAACACAAAAAAAGAAACTGTAAAAAAAAGGGTAAGGGTCACCAGATAAATCAGAAGGCGTCGCGAGATGATTAATTGCAGTTTCTTTTGTGTGAAATATTGGAGTTTGACCTCTTTGAGCCTCCAACAGTTAGCCTAATTAAATAAAAAACATGTGAGAAGTCTGTTGAAAACATCTGGATTATGACAAGGTCGCCCCCCCCACCCCCCAATGACAGTTGTGAGGGAAACAAAACAGCTGGAAAACACAACTTTAATCTTTGTGTGTTGTAGGTAAAAGTTTCAATAGCAGAGATTTTTAAGTCAAATGAGTTTTAGAGCTGCAACAATTATTTAATTAATCAATTAGACAATCAGCAAGCAGAAATGGCAAAAATTCACTTAGTTTCAGTTTCTACTGTTCATTTTTGCATGTTTTCTTACATGATAGTAAACTACATATCTTTGGCTTTTGGACTGTTAGAAAAGTGTGAAAAATGTTTAGTTTATCCGATATTAAAAGGTCAAGTGTTTAACATTTAAGAGGATCTATTGGCAGAAATGTTGTGTTTGTTATAACACAATATACAATACATCCAAAGCACAAAGAGTTTCTTTGTTATCGTTTGTCTATTCATGAGCCTTTAAAATGTGATATTTAATCCATTAAAGAGGCTCAAGGACTTTAGAGTAGAACAATGTGTGAGGTCAGAATTTGTATAGTTTCAGCTCCCATCACACACTTCCCATAATTCTCTCTCCCTCACACTCACACACTGCATATAAATGGTTGCACATGCAGAGAAAACAATACCTCCTGCAGCAGATTGACACTAAATATAGGCCGCTTCCCCACTGGGAAGTTTTCTGTGGCTGCCATCGGTCAAACTGAAGAGCCGAGCCGGTAATTCTTTTGACACAGCCGACTTTTCTCGCTGAGGAATGAGCTCCACCGCCACACTGAGCCGGCGCAATTTAGTCGTGAACGTGGCGACAAGTCTTGCAGCTAAGATAATACACATTTAATTTCCACACAGCGTTAGGCCGAGGTGGGACGCAAAAGCTTTGAGGTACTGATGCTTTACCGGTTCTCTTACTCGCTTTAGAGGGGGATGCTTTTGTTTTGTTCCACTACATTTATCTGACAGCTGGAGTTGCATTAAATATGATAAAAACTCAGTGTGTCGCTGATATGAAAATCTTGACGTCGTCTGAGGAGTTACAAATAAAAAGCAACAGAAAACAAGGAATAAAACTGAATTTGAGGTCAGACGACACAATTAAGTGACCATAGAGGGATAAATCTGCTATTAGGCGATCATTCATCCAAGTATTCTGCCATCTAGCGGCAATGTCATTACAAGTCTGACAAAACAAGTATATAAACATAATTTCTTGGAGACACAGTTGCAAGTTTTAGAATTTTTTTGGCGAATATACCCAAAACTTTTTGGCCGTTTTTTATGCTCTCATGTTAAATGTAGAACTTAAATACATTAATGCAACATAACGACGTTATTTTTATTGTTCCATTATCTCATTTTCTTTAATTTTTGTTAATTTCCATAAGCCTCTGGCAGGTATTGACTTTTAAATTCAAGTACTTCTACTTTTAATACTTAAATAAAACATTTTAAATGCAGAACCTTTACACCTTACTGACCATTTTCTCACTGGGTTACTTTAACTTCAGTAAAAAGGGTTTAAGTGGTGGAATAAGTCCATCAATGGCAGCTCAGTTCATATCCGTTCCCAATCTCGCTGCTGTATTTTCTCTTTCTTTACCCTCTCTGGCTCCTCACATTTTGCCCCAAGGAGCTTTTGTTGACTTAGTATTAATACTTGTAGTTTGACTTAGCTATTTAGATCTGTAGTTGACCTTAGTATTGAATTACTTAGTTGACTTACGTATTAATTACGTAGTGGACTTAGTATTGGAATTGTGTATTGACTTTGAGACGAATTACTGTAGTTGACTAGTAGTTGATATGTAGTTGTACGTTAGTATTGAAGTGACTGTTAGTGACTTAGTATTGAGATTACTTGTTAGTTGACTTTAGTATTGAATTACTGTAGTTGACTTAGTATTGAATTACTGTAGTTGACTTAGTATTGAGATTACTGTAGTTGACGTTAGTATTTGAATTCTGTAGGTTGACTTAGTATTGAATTACTGTAGTATTGAACTGTCCAAACAGGACCGGGGGAAATAATAGCGAATCCCAGCAGGCTGACTGGGATAATGTATAGTTAATTAAAGAACAGTATGAACTAAACTCAAAAGAGGCAAGAAGTGGGATTTATTTACAGTTGGACGCCAGGAAATGGCCACATCTGTGAGTCCTGATAGTGTTATGGATCAATAGCAATGATTCACCCAGAACAGATGCTGATACTTCTGGCTGTGGAAAAACCAACGTAATCAATGATAATGTGATCGCCTATGAGTCACCTATTGATTGAAGAAACCTGTGGAGATTCGTGCATAATTCAGCTACAGCAAAAAAGGCGTTAGCGACCGTAAAATGTTGATTTGTTGCAATAATTTAGAGATAGTTCAACACTGTAAAAAGATCATTTAACTTTTACATCTAAATCTATTTGTTGTGCGGTGGCCTGAAATGTAGGAACTTCTTACCAGAGGACTGTACTACGACAGTAGTTTAACCTACTCAGATTTAAGTCAAGGTTATCAATAAAACAAACTGATTGCCTAAACTGGTGTTAAACGGTACTATGATGGTGATTAAGAGGTTAGTTATTTAAGCATTAGCATAAAAGGGGCGTGTTCAGCAGTGCAGGAGAATGTGTAATAATCATCATTACACGAGGAGTTTAAAGAAAAGTTAACGGACTAATCTCGCTTGTCGACGATCCATATTCGTAGTTTCTATATTTAATTAAAATCTGCTCCCCAAACATGGAGGCTGGAGGGCTACCTGTGTGAATGTAACCACCCTCTGATTCTGTATATGGACCTACCTGAAGTACCTTTATATTGCAAATGATCTATAATTGCATATATAGCTGATTAAAAAGGAGCATAGCAAAGGCGTAGATGCAGATAATTCATGTCTTGTGTAAAACCTGGAAGTTACACCCAACGTCAGAGAGTTACTCTGGATAACCTCGCTTTATAGTACAGGCCTCCTGGAGTAAAAATGTGTTTTATTTAAAGAAATAAACCCGTTACAGTGATCTTTACTGTTATTATGATCTGTGGTCAGGCCAGAACCACTGAATTACTTCACTTTAGTGTTTATATCCCGTTTCACGCTTCAATTTTATCTTGTTTTGGCTTATACGTTGTTTAATTTTGTGTTGCTGCACGTTCCATGTTTGAATTTATGTGAGTATTTTGGATAAGTATGATATGTGGTGTGTTGTTTTATGACAGAATGAAAACCAAACCAAGTGGAAAAACATGCATTTCCAAAATAAAAGCCCCAGAAAATGAAAGTGTGTTTGCGATTACATGCCTGTATCTCACATGTGTGCCAGTATCTGAGCTCTTATCAGTGACCATGCCGGCCCCCGGGGTTATGTATCATTATTATGCGAGTCAGACAGGTTTCATAATCACAGCGTTAATAAATCTATAACTCCTGACAGCCCCGACCATTACCCACCATTGTTTAACCACAACACATTATGTAATGGTCTGCATCAGCAGCTGGCTCTGCATGCACAACTACTAGACATGAAAAACACAGTCGGCCTCTGTGACTTTTGAAATCTCTCCCTCCACTCATGCTCCTTGCATATAGATTGAACATTAAGATACTAAGTTGTGGCCTTGTAAGGCAGCGAGGGGAAGAATTTAATGGCGTGCTTTAGCTCCGGGTGTCAAGTGGACGGTGGGAAGATGGATTTCTGCCACAGCGGAGGATACAAGGTCGTTCCCACTGAGCAAAGTGCAGCAACCGTTTAAAGAAAAGGTGTTACTATACAAGAAATCCATGTTTTACTCTTATTCTTAAAGCAAAAATTGAATAGAAAAAAAGCTTCATTTTGTCAGACCGTTACTTCCTGTTTACTTCCTGGATTCGTTGCCGGGCAACCAGCAGAATTACACAAAGTTTTTTTTTTCTGATTGAACAAATGAGATATAAAACATGTCAGTTAATGAACTTTGGAGGCTAGCTGTTTCCACCCGTTTCCTGTCTTTATGCTAAGCTACGCTAACTGGCTGCATACTCATATTTAAGAGCATAAGAGTGGTATCAATCTTCTGATCTTTAACTTTTCACCGGAAAGATAAAGTTATTTCCAAAAGAAGTGAAATGTGCCATCTCCAGATCATTATTCAGTTATTTGGTTATTGAAGAAAACAAGCTTTATTGTCCCGACATAACGAGATAAACAACCAGTTATAACTCGAAAAAGTAAAGGTTGTTTCATCTCATTACTCATAATGTTTGATTGCCATAACAGCATGTATAGATGGCCTTTCACTAGCAAGGATGACACCCTCAACAAGCTATTTATTAACATTTATTAATAAGGAAAGGAGAGTTTTAAAGGAGGGTACTTATGGGTCTGGTCCTGGTCCTGAACCTCCACTAATTAAGTTGAGTTATGAATCCCAACTGACAGTCATAAAGGCTGATTATCTCCAAAGCAATTTAGTTTTCTCAAGCAAACAATATAAATTACCTTGTGAGCTTGCAAGTTTCGAGGCGAGGGGTATTCAATTGGTTGCAATCTCACCGCTAGCTGCAACCAAATCCTACAAACTCAATTTTCGAACCAAAAACTACCAAGTGGTGTTAATTTTTGCCTGTTTTGAGGTGATGGTAAACTAAATAACCACGGGGTTCTTTAACCCTAAGGAAATCCAGCATTACGATCTATGGACATATAGGAGGACAGGTGAGGTGAATCATAACTGAGTCAAATCTAATAATCATCATCAAAATATCATTTACACTTCCGGAGGATTTCATTATCTCTGATGTTCACTGAGCATAAAAAAAAAGGTTCAGACCTCCGATTCCACCCACTCTCCAACGGGGGGTAACGAGCTGAAAACCCCCGTCTAATATCAGGCAATTAACGTCCAGAAATCTGCTTATATAATCAGTAAAAAAAAAAAAAAAGACAACTCAGAACTTGCCTGAGAATCACCACATTTTTAAGTTTTCTTCAGTGTCAAACAAAACCAGCGAGTTGCCTCTGCACGCATGGACACCCTGCAAACGGGAGCTAATTCGGCCTACTTTTAATGGCACCAGTTTGCCAAATAGAGGCTAAAAGGAACAGAAGAAACTGACATAACCCTCTTTTTCCTCTCCTCATGTATATATGTGTTGGTGTCAGCATGTTTCCATGTATCATACAGACATATTTGACTTCCTCCATTCTCACACAGAAGTCAAATTTCACACCAAGCTGATAAAAGAAAAGTAGGACGAGCAGATATTCAGGTTTTAATGGTTATAAAGGGAATTAAGTAAGTCAAATGACAACAAAGATAATAAACTAAAATATACTAAATGAAGAGGAGTTCAGGAGGTTGTTGTGAAAACCTTCTGATACCCTTTCCCCCACTTTCTCTGCAGCAGAGCAGCAGTTTAGTTTCTCGCTCAATACTGACAAAACAAGTGCTGTCTCTGAGGTTATCAGGTCATCTCCACGTAAACACCATTACACACACACACAC